ATATATATTATTTATTTATTATATATTATAGTATATTGTGTGTGTGTGTGTGTGTGTGTGTGTGTGTGTGTGTGTGTGTGTGTGTGTGTGTGTGGTGTGTATGTGTGTGATTTCGGATAATTGCGACACAAAACTTAAAAAAATGTTAATGAAATTGTAATAAAAAAATGTTAATGAAATATTAATGAATTTGTAAATTTCGTTAAATTGAACAATAGTATATTAACGCACTTAAAAAATGAAATGACCGTTCTGAAACCATATTTTTCATTTGAAATATGCAATTGTCAACAATGCTCGAAGTCTAGTGTCTTAAAAAAATAAAAAATTGCCGGATATGAGTTACTTAACAAGAATTGTTCAAACAATAGATAATAGAAGATATTGTTCCGCAGACGGGATCTAATGATTTCTTTTTTTAAATTTATATCTATAAATTCGGAACAATTATTTATCGCGAAGTATGTATCAAAATATTATTCGATTTAAGAAGCTCCGGCACTTCTTTAAGTTTGTTGTTTGTTGTAGTCCAGAATCACTCTATATATAGAGTCCATTTTAAATGATACAGGCAGATCTCGAAAAAGAAAGATATGAAAAAACATTTCAAATAAAAGTTGCAAAGTTTCGATAAGACTACATAATACTAATTCATTCATAAATGGACTGACTATCGAGATTTTTTTTATAGCCCTTGTGAAATTTAAAATATAGGTCGAAAAACAAGTTTTGTGTTTTAATGTTCTGTTCGGAAATTGTAAATATTAATTGATATTTCTTTCAATCAATTATCAAAAATTCATCATCGATTTAAGAAGTGAATTCAAGTATTACTTTGAGCGGACTACGTTGCAGGTTCGTCAATTTAACGACATGTAATTTATATAAAGCATTTGGCTTGAATTTACAATGAACATATATTCAAGGAAAATGGAAAGAAAAGTTATTCGACACTAAGACTCTATTCGCCGTTTAATATCTATGATATTCTTGTTGATTTGACATTATTGAAAGACATTCATGACAAATAACATTATTTTTATTATAAGAAATTATCTGAAAAGACACGCATAAATCTGTCTAAAAGATATTTTAAAAAACAGATGTTTTTAAGATTTTACTAAAAAAATATCTTAAGACTTTGACATCTTTGACATCTGACTAAAAAAAAATCAAAAGATCTCTTCAAGACTTTAGAAAGGCGTCTGAAAATTATTTTTTATAAAACATGTTTTGTTTAGTATAGTTATTTGCGTTACTGATCTCAGCATTTATCAATTAAAGAAAGGCATGACCAATCTGAGTGTGACTGTAGGCTATAAAAATGTTTGTAGAATCGGTCAGTTCGATGTCATAACAATAGAAAAAGGCTTAAGTTAAGATATGTTAACAAGAAGATATATGTTAACAAGAAGATATGCAAGATAAAAAAAATTAGTCGTTTGCTTGATAACTAACTAGGATTAATAAAATTAAGTCCAACCCTGTATGTTGTAATAGACATTAAACATAAAAACCACACCAATATACACACAACACACACACACACACACACACACACACACACACACACACAACACACACAGAGTATTGTTGTTGCGTTTTACTAATAGAGTGAGGTGGTAAAAATAATTTTTTAATTTCTTTGTTTTTTTTTACTAATTAGTAAACATTTTTAAATTCAATTTTAGTTAATTACATATTTTTCTACAAAATGTAAATTTAAAATAAAATTTCATAAATAATATCAAGGCCATTTACCCCGCAGCAAGATCTTGGTTGCTAAATCTTTTTGTATGAAATAAATTCGAATAATCATATCACTAGCTACGTACTTAAATTAGCAGACTTTCAACGTGATTTTATAATAATTCGATAATCAATATTTTTGATATCGATTAAATCCCTATTATCTCTTCTACTGAAATTATACATATATTGCAAAAAGAAAATTTTATAAAGATAAATTTTTCTAAAGAAATTCAAAAGTAAAATGTCCGATTAAGAAATTTTTCATTACAAAATCTTTAAAACTAAATTAATGGATAGAAGTAAAGTTTTTGAGAATTATATTGATTTCTTAAGTGTTAAAACATTACATTACAAAAATAAGTTTTTATATATGTAATATATAAGTCAATGTTTTATTGAGACTTGAGTTTTGATCATTTCTTGTAGAAATCTGGAATCTAAGTCGATTCAAGTAGATCTTGAAAGTTTTTATTCTTAATTTGTTTGCAATAATCTATTTTTGCATTTGAAATTAGAAATTTTTTTATAAAATTATTAAGTTACATAATATACATATATTAATTTTATTTAAATATATTAATTTTTTTACATATCATTATTATTTTACTTAATTTCTTATATATATATATTACGTTTTATATATCATGTTTCTTGTACCAGATACTACAAACGGGCACTATGCGATATTTGTTTCCTGGAATAATTATTTCTCAATTAAATAACAAAATTAATCAATTTATGTCACAAGTATGCTACATATATGTTTATTATTATGAACAGTTATCATGAAGAAAATTAATCATACATTTTCAATATTTAATTGGTCATAGAACACTTTGAAAAAAATATGAAATAAAATATTTTTACACAGTTAACTTTATAGTAACTTTATAGTAACTTGTAAGTTACTCATAGTTACGTACAATATACACGATACATATCTAAACTGTCAAAATGCATTCTTTCCATAATAATCACTCACGAAATAAGCATAAACAATTGGGGAAACAATTGGTGCTGCAGAGAAACGACAACAATTATCCTTAGTACAATATATGAGTATCGATTTAATGTGTCTTTTTTTTTTTTTAAAGCGGATTATCTTTCAATTACTTTTAATTCATGTAACACATGAGTTACATATGTCCGCATTATCATTTTATTCCTCAAAAGATCAAAAGCGATATCAAGCGGTAACGGAAGAGAAACGACAACGACAAGCATTGCTGTACTGTTAAATGTTTGATGGCTAAAAAGAAATTCAGTACAACATTCTTCGGAGCATCCGGTATCATCATGAAGCCTATTCCCCTTTTCTCATACCCCCTTCGGTTTCCCGGATGATCTGATTGTTTCACGTTTGTATGAGATTTATCTGTACGGTGGCGGAACAGTGGAGGCGGATTCTGGATGCTGGACCAATCGGATGATGGTCGGAGATCGATATAATTAAACAAGAGCCAACCCGGCGAGAGGCCGGAGACACGAGAGACATGCGCGCAGCTTCACACCAGCTTCAACACAGCGCTCGCGCGAATATGCTTCTGCGTGTATATATAGGTGTCTAATTCCCTTTGTGCATCGCTTATTGTCGGTATTACGATTATTACGCTCACACTGATTTCGCTCGTCGTCGTGTAGTCGTCGTCGAGCAACGCGACAATACAATTATCCCCACGGTCAATACACGACGCCGACGACGAGCGGCGTCGGAACATTGCAGATGCGCACCGTTTATCGACGTATTCTCTGGAGTATGCGTCTATGAGTTATTATTATTGTTATTTTTGTTGTCACGTTATTGTTATTACTTTTTTTCCAATGGCAGCAAAGCAACAAAAAACTATATATTCACGGTGTTTTGACTCGACATTGATGTTGTTAAATAAGTAAAACAAAATCGTGAGTAAAAAAAAATTATGATATAACACACATTACTTTTAATGTTCTTAAATTATATAATTTTTATTTTTATAATTTAATTTTTCATTTTTCATAGATGTTTATTTAATGTATAACAAAGAAACATATATTTGATTAAAATTGTTTCCAAATATGTTAAGTGTATTAAGAGATTCATGTTAACCCGTAAATGCTCATGTGACTTTTTTCGACATATCTGCTCGCTAGAGATCAATCCATGATTTGATCCACGTTTTAATTTATTTATATGTGTGAATAAAACTTTTCATTTTTATTTATAAAAAATTATAGCTGAGACATTAATTATAAATAAATGAAATATGTTTTAAACATAAACCAATAAATTTTAAATTCAGAAATTAAAAGCTCATATTTTTAAAAACATTTTTTTTATATGTAATGTTTTTTTATATTTAATGTTCTTGCAAGTATAATAAATGCAAGTAGCTTACAAATTATGCTGTAAATACAGACCGTTAAAATGATTAAATAAATTTTAATTATTATTATTATTTTAATTATTACATTTCAATTGAAGGTATATGGAATAGGATAACATACGGATATAGTATTACTTAAATAATATGATTGTTTAATACTAGTAACAATTCTGAAATTAATTAATGTTATCTCTTTCAATCTTTTATAAATATATGTTTGTTTCTTTACACAATAATTTTTAATAAATTGTTAAAAATAAAACTATAAAACTAGTAAAAAAATTAGGAAACATGCAATTATTAAGAAATAATTGAAAATATCAACAGACATTATTACTATTAAAAATTGAATATTATTAATACATAATATTTCAAAATATAGCATGTGTATTTATATTGAAAAAGTTAATATAAAAGAAAGAAAAAGTAAAGTAACTATGAATTAAATTTTTTATAATTGATAATGTAATGCAACTATTTTAATCTGTTTCAACATTTTATAAATTTAAAATTGTTTTTAAGTGTAGACAACATATTTTGTTACACCTCACATAAAAATTTATGTTTTATTGTTTTTCCCGCAAGGTACAAATTTTATATCTCTTTTTTTAGTATTCATTTTTCTATTTTTATAGAATAAAATCTTCGAAAATGCATAAGACTTTACATTTTTAAATTGCAAAATAATATTTATTATTTACATTATTATACAACAATTCGTTATTTACACAAATTACTTGATAAAAATAATACATGTCTGCATTCTTGCACATTAAGAGAATGAAACCATATCTTGAAAAAAATCGTTCTTTTTCCTGAATATCGTCTAAATATGAAATCGTCAAAGATATAAAAAAAAGTTTTACAAATATTGCAAATGCACTTTACAATGCATTCGAATTTTTTAAAAATGTGTAATTTCTTACATATAATATATATACACACACACACACACACACACACACACACACACACACACACACACACACACATATATATATATGTATATGTAGGCATGCATGCACACATGTGTATATATGTATCTAATTTTCAAAAAATGTAGTTATTTTAAAAAAAAATGTATCTTAAAATATATATCTTTTTTTTTTAAATAACTAATTGAAATTTATATGTAAATTTATATTATAATTTTAATATAAATTTTAAGATATAAAAGTATATAGAACATATCTATCTAAAAATAAAATTACGTTAAAAGAACATATGATTAATATGATGTGATATATGATTAAGTGCATTTGCTTAATTTGTTATTTTTTGGTTTGATATTTTAATAAACCAATATTATAAATGAATTTTTATTTTGAATACGAATAGATATATATTTTATTTTGAAATAAACTATACTGGAATAAGAACAATTTAGGTTATTAATTACTTATTAATAAAAATTAGTTAATCTTATAATAATAAATTAATTATTGTAAAAAAATTATGGTTGTTCTTTGATTGAGAAACTATCTTTTAATTGTTTGCTGTATCTCAAGAGCATATATTTGTGTATTTACAATACAGAATTAGGATGGACACACAGATGCTGATAAAGATTCTAGGAAGAGAAAGTCTGTTGTCTTTCAGATTGTTGCAAAAGTTCCGGTTTTTTGTGTTACGATATACATGCGCTTTATGCGCAAGAATTTCCAAAAAAATATTGTATACAATATATGTTAGAATAAGAATTCTATTCTTAAAATAAGTGAGAAAGTGAAATAAAAGCGAAATTAGGATAGCAAATAAGAATTAAATATAAAAGAAAGGCAAAAAAGGAATTATGAAATGTTTTGAAAAGAAAACGTAAACGCTTTAATTTACAAAATATTATTGAAATTTTATAAAAATTACTAAACTAAAAATACTAAACATAATTATATAATAAAAAAATGAATTTCTTTAACAAATCTAAAAAAATAATAATTAATATGAAATATAATATAATATAAAATATAATATATCATAATTATATATACAAATGTAGATTATATATACAAAAACAGTTAAAATTAGTAACACATATAAAGAAAATATATAAAATTATCTTATATAAAATGAATCAATGCCTTAATATTTTATACACAAAATAACAAAATAAATTAATTGATGTAATGATGTAAAGAAATCATATATATGTTTAAAATATATATATGTATAATTTGCATTGCAAATTAAAAAATATTTATATATTTGTGAGAAAATGATCAATTCGTAAATTTTAAAAAGAAATCTTAGCATTTTATACATTATAACATATTTATCACATCATTACAAAACAAAAAATTATTTGTAAAATGAGATAAGAAATAATATGATAATATCTTTAAAAAATTATTGCGAAATATTCTGATTCTTACATTTAGACTTGGACTTTGCGGGATACTTATATAACAACACTCATACATCAGAAATTATCTATGTACGTATTTGAGCGGAAAAATGTAAAGCGGAAAGATTTCTATACCTTTGGGTGTGTCTTACTGATTCTTGTTAATGTCCTTGTCATCGCGGCTCCTAAGAGCGACCTAAGCTCAAACAACCGAGACCACCTTGAAGTATTAAGAGGGGCATATTGGCATATTAGAGAGAAGGCTATATAAAGATCTTGTACACCGAGAACAGATAATCTTTGCACATATTTCGTTCATTGTGTTTCTCCGAAAAATGCAAGCAGTAACATCAATAATATGAAGTTTTTTGTTGTAAGTAGATTAGATACTTAAATTCTATTATAACATTTCTAAAATATTAACTTTTCCGATTTAAAAAAAAAAATAATATATACTAAGCGATTAAATAATCGAACTGTCAAAGTAAACATAAAAACTCAATTTAAAATGGTTTTTTATCTAATATTATGAATTCTATAACTCTTTTAGTTTTTGAAAGTATTAGCACTTCTGCACACATATAAAATATGAATTAGAGTACCTATTACACCCCTCCCCCCACATACACACACACACAGATATAGAATAAGATGTAGATTTAAAAATTAAACTCTTGCATATTTTCGAGGAATTTGAATAGATAAAAAAGTTAAAGTAAAAATTATTTAGTTTAAAGAAAGACATATTATGTATATATGTGTGTAAACATGAGCTATGTATACATTATGTGTATATATTATGTATGTTTTTCACAGATTTTGACTTTCAGTGGTTTAGTTGCAATACACTGCTGTAGTGCAGCTGAATCTCCGGAATTAAAATTACTTACAAATCTAACGCCGGTAAAGGAGGAGCAGCGTGTATATTCAGATAATGCTCGTAATCATGGAGATTTGATTACATCTGCAAGCGATCGAAGTAAGGCAATATATTTATTTTTATATCCTATGCACTATATATTAGAATGATTCACATAATACTTAATAACTTATTATCTTAAAAATTACACAATATGAATTTTAATTTCATTTTGGTCAATTTCATTTTGTCTCAAATTTCATAGAATTTAGATTCTTCTATTTTTAAAAATGCAATAAAAAATTGATTTTTAAATCTTTTATTCCCCTTAAATCTATGTCAAAATCTGGTCCTCATTTATCCGGAAACTAAATTAAGAAATAAAAATTTTAACCGTACGGAAATATGTGGAAAAGCAATTATCTCTATAACTTATCTTAGAAAACACGTCTCTGAAATATTCTAATATATCTGAAAGACTTTATTAATTATTTTACTAAACTATTCCTTCAAAAATTACAAGCATTTCAAATTTGTACTGTGATGATTTGATCAGTTGAAATTAACTGAAGAATAAAATAAAATGCAAAATAATATTATGTAATTTAATTTATTCAATGTTCAAAATATTTATCGTTTATTTAAATATTTACTTAATTTAAAAATATAATTGTTTCTGCGGGATAATATTTAAGATTTCCTTCAGTTTACCTTCCAAATGATAAAGGAAGATAAGTTTTGTAATTTTCTGGCATAAATATCCTAGTATACAATTTTTTTAGATACTCATTTCTCTGTCCTGTTATTGTCTAATATTATTATTATGTAACATTCTCATTAGTTGTAACAATATTATATAAAATGGCTGAATAGAATTAATTTTTCTGGTGAAAATATATATAGTTTGCATAGACACCTATCCTGTTATTGTCAGCTAGCTTGCTTAATTAATTGAATAATCCATTTATTGTGCTGGTTTTATTTAGCAAATAAGTATAGATTTTGCACATCTTTTGAGCGCAGTAATTGTAGAAAAAGCATTAGATCTTCATTGAGATTCCAAATAATTTACTTCTCAATTGCTAGATAAAAGTTAATATAACTATTCAGTAATTGCTTAATCTAAAAAAAAAGTGTGAAATTTCTATTAACGATTTCTGGAAAATATAAAGTTTAAGATAAAAGTGAATAAGTCACTCGCATAATTCGCGTAATCTCAGAATGCTAAATTGTTAAATCTTACGAGACATTATCCTGCAAATATGTTTATCCATTCATCAACATTTATTTATATATTATGCATAATTAAATTTATGCATAATTACATTTATCGTCGTTAATTATTTATCTTATTATTATTTAAGGAATATGAAATTATTCTTGTTTATGGATAAGAGCAGTAGTTTTGCTTGCAACGATAATCAATTAAATACGACATAATTCAAGGAGATTGCTGGCGCATGACTTTAAACAAAGTTTTCAAGCAAATTTGTTTGATATGACAATTTAATGACTTATTTGTCGTATAATATAATAAAGTTATTGTATTTTAGATGTGATATTAATAATTTTTCAAAACACTTGTCTAATTTTTAAGAATCGTATAAAGTATGCAGAAATATAGATAATGAATATAGAAATATGACACAAACATATTGAATTATTTTCTTTGAAATTCTGTGAATCACATTTACAAGAGGAAGTCCTTCAGGGATCTCTTTATATTAGCATCTTATTAGTGATGTTTTTTCCTATTTTGTAATGGGAAGCGCACGACTTTCAAAGTCAGAGCGTGAGAATGGCAGTGACACACTTACTTAATATACTGATTACTCATCGCTCTATTACCTTACATCATGCTGGATATGAATCAATTATTATACTTATTACTGTGCACAATTTTATCATGCATTTTGTGCATATAAGTTCATTTAATCACATGTTTTTTGCTATGATCAAGATCGTAATAGTATCATCGATAATAGTTATGTAATATTTATACTATTAATAGTAATGTTTAATGTACAAATAATAATTTATTATAATGTTTTTCTTATATAAGAACAAAATATTATGTGTGTGTGTGTGTGTGTGTGTGTGTGTGTGTGTGTGTGTGTGTGTTTTGCGAGACTTCTGCCACCGCTCGTAAAAAAATAGATAAGACCGAGATGAACATAAAAGTCTCATACCATTTTGTGATATTCGCAATAATAATCGAGATATTAATTATTAAAAATCACCGTATTAGCCCGGCCCACCGGCAAAACAAGAGGACATTGACTCAGTGTAGTTCTCGATGAGAATGCGCAGTGTTTGAATATGAGTGTTTGAATATATATCCTTAATGCTATATCCTTTCCTGAATTCAATATATTCGATTGATAAAAATCGAATTTGTTTTCGAGTAAATAAACTAGCAATGAATGCTAGTTTATTTATTGCTAGTTTCTGATATTTTATTGCTAAATTTTGTTTTAAATACATTGTGCATATATTACAGAACAAACAACAGATGAGTTTTTGTAAAATTTTTCTTCTCGTATGTAAGATTCAATATAGATTAAGAAAAATCTATTTGTTAAGAAAAAAATGTTAGATATTTTTTTATAAAATATTTATATTCATTTACATTGATTTGTTCTGATTTTTACCTGCGTGCTTCTTGGTCAATTTTTTTTTAGTTTTATAACTATCATTTTCTTGAATTTTTCAAAAAGTGAAAAAGATGGAAACTATTATAAATTTAAAGTTCTATAAATCATAAAATAAAAAAAATTATTTTTGCATAATATCATTCCTAATTATAATTCCTAATTTCAATAAAATATATTTCAATAAAATTTATTAATATAAAAAAATATTTGTGTTAGCGTTTCATATAACTAAAGATTATGGGTCAATTGGAGGATATCCAATCGGTACTCATCCGGGAATCATTGGATCTGTTTATCCTGGTACATCATATCGTGGTAATAACCTGATTCCAGGATATAGAGGTTATCAATATACTGGACCAGGTGGGCTTGTTGATGGTAGTCATATTGGGTAAGATACAATTTTATTATATTTTTTATATTCAAAATAATAAAAATTACACCTAAATATAAGTCTAAAATAAATTTTAGTATGAGCTTTTGTAAAATAATGATTAATATTAGGTAAATACAATTTTAGCCTGATTTTTATATTAACGCTCCACAATTACTCAAAGCATAACAAAATGCTGTGAGTTTGTTATTACATTGCTGAATTGTTGCAACGACTAATTTATACATTGATAACGACATATTTCTACATTGGTTTTTTTTTTTTAAATCAAGATTTGTATCAAAAATATTTCGTATAAATATCTTATGATTTCAAGAGGGACATAAGGTGATGTCATTTAGCTTTGGTGTACGTCATACGGAAGATAACTTTGTTTTTTAAATGGAAACTTTCTATTCTGATTATATATTCTTGTAACTAACTTTGAGAGCTTTTCATTATAATAAAGTATTTTTTGAGTAAATACTTTCTGAATTTTGATGCTTTAATTTGACATGTAATTAATTGACATGTATTTAATTGACATATAATTATAATTTCACAATGTTCCATAAACTTTTCATATGAAACATTTTTTAAGATAAAGTTTTGAAAAAGATAAGATGTTTAAAACATCTTTTAGAGAATAAATGGTGTATTAACATTTTGAAATTTACAACGTTCTTTCTTGTATTTTCTATTACGTGAAAATCATTTATTAATGAAGTACCTAGTTTGAAATGTTTATTTAAAATTTATTTAAATGTTTTAATTTTTAATCCATTTTTAAAGACACAAGCGAATGTAAATAACTAAAAAATTAAGGATTTATATGAAAAATTAAAGAATATGAATGAAAAATAAGACACTAAATAAAATGAATAAAAAATTGAAAAACAAAAATGACAACAATTTTTATTTACGCGATGTACCTAATTGAATACGGAAAAAGAGAAGAAATAAATTTTTTTATTGTAGATACGGATTTTATGGTAACGTAGGAAATTATCCTGGATACAATAATCTTGCCGGTTATGGAGGTTATCGAGGATATGGAGGATATGGAGGATATGGAGGATATGGAGGTTATGGAGGTTATGGAGGTTACGGAGGATATGGAAGTTATGGAGATCATGGAATAAGAGGATATAACCTTGGAGGTTACGGAGGTCTTACCAATTATGGTATTAGAGATTATGACGATAATTACTTGGGATATGGTTACAACCGTTATGATGGATATGATGGAAGAGGATATGGTACAACATACGCAGCAAGGAGTCCATATAATCCATATAGTTATCGTAGTGATAGTTATGGCACTTCCCTTGGTAATCCATCTGGTTATCGTGGTTATTCATGAATATAACATCATATATATGTATTTCTACATAGTATTTGCAAATATTATAATTAAAAATGTCAAAATTAATACGCTTGTGTTAATACATATATGTCTCTAATGATAAATAAATAATTATATATGTAAAATTTTTTAAAATATGAAAGCTATATCAATAATGCATATTTTTAATGTAAAACACACATACACACACATGCAATAAAAATTATAATACAATTTCAATAAATATAAAACGTATATAGTGAAATAAATAGTTACTATGACCACATATTATTTATAATAATTATTTTTCATTCCATTCAATGTATATTTATAATGATACGCTTCTTAGCTGTGTTTTGCCAGTGTGTCCGATGTGCGTCAAACATCTGCGAACTGATTCATCACCATCATTTCTTTTGGGATGCTTAATTTGTAAGAGACGTTACAACAATGTTACAATGGTGACATTCATGAAACATATATTTGAAGACATAAACGTTCCAATTGGAATGTTTAGCTTATAACGTTCGATGACGTTACAGCAATGTTAGATTTGCAACATTCCTGAAACATTAATTTCACAATATTCACAATATATAAACGTTTTATATGAAACATTTACTTTTAACACATTCAGTGAAAACACCTTTTGCCTCTCTGTTTGCCGCTTGTTGCTCTATGAGCTAAATCTTGGTGCTTGCTAGACTTCATTGGAAGATATTTTATAATATATATGGAGCAATAAATATAGCTGTTGATGCTCGAGACTCATGCCATGTAAATACATACACACACATAGGTATATATATATATATATAAATTATTTTAATAACATATAAAATAATTCGAAAACCTAATTTCGAAAACCACGTGTTGCGTCTCATGCGCGCGGTAGTGATTCCGATGAAGTACGATTTCGATGAAGTAAGATTTCGGTGAAGAAGTTTTTATTATATTTACATAGACAAATCAATGGTCTTTTTATCAAGTTTATCAGTAATAGCAATACTGACATAAAATTAAGACAATAATAGTGGTTAAAATAAAAAAGTGTTTTGTTACAAAATGCCATATAAGACAAATGATAAAAGAAAAAATTAATACACATCTTGCAATTGAATCGACAGTTAATACATACGAATAATTTGTCTGATAGTATAAAAACAATTGTTAACAATTATTACAAATGTTGATATAGAGAATGAGAAAAGAGAACAATGTGAAAATCATATGATAATATGATTTCTGAGATAATTCCAGAAGAAATTGAGATTGAATCATTGAAATACATTAATATAATTGAAGAAATTAATTGCTCAGATAATTCTTTGTCATTTGAAGGTCTGTGTAATAAATATAATAATCCCATTGGAAATGATTTCATAGTTAACGCTGTGAAACAATGATTTTATAATATAGAAATTTGCTTAGTCAATCTGCTAAGAATGAATTGTTTGATATTCGAGTGATATTTTCATAATTTCCAAAAGATTCGCGGACTCTTTTACAAACACCAAGTTCATGTCCATATGAACATAAAACACACACATATATATATATATATTTATTAAAAAATTAAACAATAATATATAAAGGACTTAAAATAAAAATATTAAATTATATCTATGATATAAAAAAGTTATTTCATAGATTTTAAACTTACTTAAGTTTTAGATTAATGCATGATTTCTTTCATTTAAATTAAATAATCTATTAGGATGTTGACTACTTTTTTATGACAGACAGAGAAAATTAATTTACAAAGAAAAAACGGAAAAAATTTCGTCATTAATCCAATTTTAGTTTTTGTTTATTGATTTTGGTTTATATCGGCAAATATTATATTACAAACATTTTTAATTTAGCTATCCATCAACTAACCAGCAGCTGAGGAATAGATAATACATCATTATGTATTTATTTTTATTTTTCAAAAGAAGATGAGACTATTATTTCAGAATGATTACAATTTGAACTTAATAAGCCAATATTACATTCTTCATTTTGTCTTTCTGCCTTTGCTTCTTTTTTGCTTGATGTTGTTCTTAACTGAAACATTAAAAAGACCAAGATTGGGTTGATTTAATATTTCTTTGAGATAATCGATATTGCCAAGCTGATTTATGTCAAGGGTTCTTATGCCGAGTTTGCTGTCTTGAATATCGCATATGTCGCATATATATGGAACAGAAGTAATGGATGGGAACATAATTTTTATCTTATTGCTGTCCATCTCATTGCCAGGACAGTATGGTACAAAAATAATAGGAACGAATCCGAATTGACCAATGACAGAGGTAAGAGTCGAACTGGTTTCTACGTTTGTATTGTTTTTCGACTCAATTAAGTAACAAGGACATGCTTGTGAGTCTGGCCCTATAGGTAATGAAAAGGGCTTAACGTTGATGAAATTAGGTGGTTGAACCCCAATAGCGTCAAGAACGGGATTCGTCCTCGATATCTGTTCAAGATGTACATTTACCTGTTTTTCCAGAACAGAGGAAGGTTCATCCTGAGTGGATATGTCAGAAATCGATTTGTTATCCATATTAGCAAACTTATTATACCGTCCATCTACATTAACTGCGCTTTCTTGTTGCACTAATTTGTTAAATTGGTTTGAACCTCTAGAAGATTGAGAATTATTAAATGGATAGAATATTGATTTTTGATACTGACTTCGATGCACAGAAAGATGTTTGAGTGGTTCATTTTTAAGTGGTTTCTTTACTTGTTGCGGCTCAGTATGTGTCAGGTGATCATGAAATTGTGGATTTAGTTTGATCATATCAGTGTATTGATGATCTTCACTTTTATATTTCAATGATGATGGTGTTGAACCTATTTGCAATAGAGAATTAGTTTCATTTCTATTGTACATGATTTCTTTTCCCTTATGGACCGATGCTACAGACTGTATTTTGTATTGAGGTCTATATCGATTATGATCTGTATTATATAGTGATGTGTTAACTTTCATCGGATATATTAATTTTAATAATTCATTATCTTTTGTATAATTTGTATATGAAATACCAGTTCCATTGAAGGAATATTGCGAAACGGAGTTATATTTATCTGTATCTGAATAAATTGATGAATGGTGATTTCTTATCAATCCTTTGTGCAAAGGTTTTCTTGTTGATTTGATTGATATTCCGGATATATAATCTGGATCCCCAGGCCATGGTCCATTAGGACCCGGTGAACCAGTTGGCCATGGTCCATCGGGACCGTTAGGTCCGACATTTTCTTTATCACTTATGTTATCAACGTTTCCTATACCGCCTATACCACTACTCGGATCTTTAGAGCTTACTTCTCCATGAGGTTCTATCGATATAGGTCCTAGTGGATTTTTCGATTCTTCTGTATAGTCTTCTGTATATGTGTAACCTGGAAAAATGTAATTAAGATAGATACATAAACAATCATTTCAATTTTATATAAATATATAGCTTAATATATCATAATATTTTAAAATGTGTAGAATTACTAGAATAATAATAAATATCTTTAAAAAATTTTGTTCTAGTCTTGGAACAGGATTAGATGTTTTATATAGATTTTTTCAAAAATGAATTTAATTTAATTTGTAAAAAAGGAATTTCTCGGAATTTTTCTGTTTTTATTGTGATTGAGAAAAATAAAATAAACATGTAAAATCATTTCAGTTATAAGACTTTCAGTATATCATCGAATTTTTCAAAATACACATACAGAGTATTACACTTAAAAAAAATCCGTGTTGGTATTTGAAGTCTACTTCAGTTTATTTAGTTTACTTTCTTTTGGCCATGGCGAACGTTTTTACTTTTGCAGAATATGTGTTTAACCTTGGGCGAATGCCCAGCAATTCACACAGAGTCAGAACTCGATATTACGAGAAGTTTTTTAATGAGCGTCTATCAAATCGAAGAACATTTTTGGCTGTGGATCAAAGAATTCGAGAAACGGGGCAAGTTGCACCGCAACTTGTTGGTGACCACATTAGGAATATTTATTTAAAAAAACTTTACTTTTTTTATTTAAACAAACTTTGGATACTCAATATCCCGTGACTCCGAAATCGTCATATGTTTATTAAATATTTTCGACTTGTTTTTATGTATTAAATCCGCTGTACCACTGTTTTGGCACTGAGTTCAGAGACACTCTATATAAGAAACGATGGAATCCAAATTTTCGAAATATTTATTTACAGTTTTATCATTTGTATGCAATCAACTACTTATATATTCTTATATACAGTTAAAGAAATAAATTTAATATCCAGTAAATTATTTTCTTTTTTTCACGCTAAATCATTTACCGACATAAAAGATTTTAATAGACAACGTGCTCAATCATTTTCCTTCTTAATTATCATTATAAAGGAGGAAAACGATTGTATATTCTTCCATTTTCTTTAATCTGTAATATATTTTTTTATCACATTATATGCAATATGTTTTATTTCATTCATATATTTATTATCATTTATTTCATATGTTTTATTTCACAAAGATCCGAATCTTCTAATATATACAATAAAATATGCAATAACATATGCACCAAATTCAAAGCAAACATATGCATTTTTTTACAGTTAATTATATACTATTTTTATATACTTTTTTGCAGATTATTATTCTTAACATGACAAAGGATCCCATACATTTTAAAATGTGGTTTCTGTCAAATTAAATTTTGAACTTTTTATCAGATGAAAGTTTTGAGTCAATTTCACCTAAATTAAAACATATTTCGATTTCAGTCAATTTGACTGAAGTCATTTTTTTTTCATAAATATGATCCTTTACGGATTAGATTTATTTTCAGTATCACATAATTTACATGAAAAATATCCAGTTTCATTTCTAGAATATCTAAACAAAATGTTTATATAAATGTGTATAATTAATAAAATAATCTTAATAACGTACCTGATTTGCCAGACTTGAAAGGAAAACTTGATTTATTAGACGTATTAGAAAATTCAGAATATATATCATCAGGTTTACTCAACATTTCAAAATTAACAGGTGTTTTTGATTTGATAGGATAAATGGGATATCCTGGATAAGATGTTATAGATTTTCCTGATATATCAGATATTCTTGGAGTACTAGAAATAATAAAAGTCTTCGGACGTTGAGGATGAAACAGTGTTCTTGATCTCCCTAGTATTCCTAAAGTATTGGCTGTATCTGAAATGCTAAGAATGCTAAGAATCTCACGGTATCCAGGATAAAGATTGATTCTAATCTTTCTTGATACATCGGGAATGCCTGAAGTATTAGAAATCCTCACATATTTAGAATGTAATAACATTCTAGGTATTCCTGAAGTTTTATATGTAACTGCCGTATTAGAAATGCCAAGAGGTTTTTAGTGATTAGGATATGATTAGTATTCCTGATTTTTCAGGTATTCCTAATGTAGCGGATGAATCTGATATGCCAGAAATGTTTGTAGTACCAGACATGTTGAGAATTCTTGCATGTTTATAATGTAATGGCGTTCCTGATTTTCCACGTATTTTCGGTATAATAGATTCGGCATGTATAGAATGAGATGATATTCCTGGTATTCCTAGAATATTGGATGTGCCAAGACTGCTAGAAACGTTAGAAATCCTTAAGTATTTAGAATATGATCCTGATTTCTCAGACATTTCTGGAATAACATATATACTTTAAGTTTCAGAAATTTTTGAAATCTTTAGATGTCAATATATAATAGCGTTTCTAGTGTTTGTACAGTATTAAATCTATTTGGCATATCGGAGATGTCAGAAAATTAAACTGATAATTGAAGTTAAGTAACGCTTTTGGTTTTACTAATACAGAATCTGTACCTGGAGTACTGAGGTTGTCAAAAGTTTCCAAATATGATGGCATCCTAGGTCTTCCTGAGCTACCGAATGTGCCTGATATGCTAGAGACTCCGGGATGTTCTGAATAGATTGTCGTCTCTAGATCTTCAGACAGTCTTGAAATATCAGATATGCTTGGTATGTCAGGAATTTCAGATATCTTCGGATGTTTTGCATATGTTGGTGTTTTTGATCTTTCCAGTTTGCTTAGCATTCCAGATATACTTGGTATAATATGATGTTCGGGTGTCTTAGAATATCCTGAATACGTTGATATCTCGGACTTTCCAGATATTCCTGATATATTAGAAATTCTGGAAGATATTCCTGCATGCCCTGAATATGACGGCATTTCTAATTCTCCCAATTTTTCTAACGTTCCACGTATGCTTGGTGTGACGTGGATTCTGGATGTCCCTAAATGTTCTGAATGTATTAGTGTCTTTATTTCTTCAGATATTTCTGGAATACCGGATGTTCCCATATATTCTGGATGTGATGGCGTGGATTTTTCTGAAGTATTGAATGTTCCTACTATACTAGAAATTCCAGATGTCTCTAGATGTTTTGATTTTGAATATGATGACACTTCTGGTCTTCCAAGTATTCTCGAAGCATTGGATGTGCCGGAGATTTTGGATGTTCCCGAGTATTCTGAATATGATAGTATTCCTGGTCTTCTCGGTTTTCCTAAGGTACCAGATATATCTGATATATCAGAGATTCCAGGTATCTTCGAATATATTGATGTCTCTAGTTTTTCCAATTTTCCTAGTGTTCCAAGTGTGCTTGGTATGACATGAATTCCAGATGTCTCCGTATATTCTGGATATAATAGTGTATGCAATCTTTCTGCAGATATTTCTGAAGTTTGAGGGATTTCTGGAATGTCAGAAATTCCAGGCGTCTTCTGGTATCCTGGATATAATGGCATTTTTGGTCTTCCAAACGTTCCTGGAGTACTTGTATTTGATGTGCCAAGGATTTCGATTGTCTCAAGATATTTTGGATATGATAGCGTTCTTGATCTTCCTGGAACGCTATTATATCCTCCTTTTTTTGAAATGTGGGATGTAGCTAATATACCAGGAACCCTAGGTGTCGCTAAATATTCTGAATTTACTGGACTTTTAGATATTCCTGGAACATCGGGTGTGTCTAATATTATAGGAATGCCGGATGTTTCTGGAGATCCTCGATACAATGGCATTTCTGATCCTTTTGATTTGGTTATAGTTTTAAATATATCTGATATGTCAGAAATTCCAAATGTTTGTGAATGTTCTGGATATGATGGCATTTCTGGTCGTCTAGATGTTCCTAAAACATCTAGTATTCCAGATATTCCAGATATTTTTGATTGTTCTGAACGTGACAATGTTCCTGATTTTTTAAATGTTTCTGAAGTATTAGATGTTCCTGATATGCCGAGGATTCGAGGTGTCCCCGAATATTCTGGATATGATAGTGCTTTTGATCTGTTAGCCATTCCTGGAGTACTGGATGTGCCTGGTACGTTTCTGGGTATCCCCGATTCTTGTTGTAACATCCCTGATTTTTCAGATAATCTTGGAGTATCAGGTGTGACGTGAACTATAGATGACACCGGTTGTTTCGGATACGTTTCTGACCTTTGGCCTAAAATAGCGGGTGTATCTGATATGTTAGAAATTTCAGATGCTCCTGAATATTTTGAATATGATGATGTTTCTCGCATTTTTGGTTTTTCTAGTATTCTAGGTGAGGTTAATATGTTAAGTGTCCTTTGATTTTCTGAATATGATGGTGTTTTTGGTCTTCCAGAAGTTCCTGGGATATCGAGTATATCTGATGTGTCAGTAATTTCATGTGTTCTAAAATATTCTTGATATAATGGCCTTTGTTTTCCAAATGTTCCTGGTGTTCTGGGCATGCCTGGAGTGCTAGGAATATCTGTGATTTCCAAATGTTCAAAATGTGATGTTATTTCTTCGCTTGTCGATTTCTGTGGTATATTGGACATATCTTGTGTACTAGAGTTTTCCAAATGTCCTTGATATAATGATTTTCCGAACTTTTTCGTGTCTGGTCTTACTGGCGTACCAAATTTACTGTGACCTATACATGATAATAAGTAGCTTAAATTGATTAATATTAAAGAAAGTATATTTGATTTATCATTTTTTATTTTAAAATGTTATATTTTTCATTATTTTGTTTTTTTAGATATTTATATTTGATATAATATAAAATATATCTGAAGAATTTAATTTTTTTAAATAATTAACTGTATTTTATGATATTTATTTGTAACATTATTTTATGTTTATAAGTATTAAAGAATAATCAAAAAGTAAATTATATATTAAAATATATATAATAACATAAAATATCTCCTAAATTTATATCTTTGGCATATATATTTTAACTTCTATTAAAAATATAAGATTTTCCAAGTAACTTATCCAAGATTATTTTGAAAATATGAAAAATATGGTAAAATGTTTTAAATAAAAGTTACAAGATTTCGAGAAGGTCATATGATTATGATATTGATTCATGACAGTATTTATAAATGAAGCTACTGTTAAGATTTCTTTTTAGTCGCTATTTTTTAAAATAAAATAGTATATTTTTTGTTATGCAATTTGATTCCTAGATATAAAAGTATTAAAGCACATTATCAAAGATCAATGATTTACGAGATATTTAAGATTTTATTCTGATATATTCTGATATATAATAATATAAAATGATATAATATAAATATCTATAAGATATTTTATATAATATAATATAATAAAATATCTATTCATTTTTTTATAACCATACCTTAATACTTTTGTGACAAAATAATGGAATAAAGCAATTAGCGTAAAGAAGATACATGATTTTAAAAAAATTATGCAATAATTAACAATGTACAGGTACATACTTTTTAAAAGATAACTATAAAGTTTCTCTATATTAATTATTTGTTTTACTACTTTGTACAAAAATATTAAGATATAATTGTCAAAAAATGAATAGTTTACGAAATATCTTATATTTTATGTCAGAATATGCCAGAATAAAATCTAAAATATTTCATAAATTATTGACTTTTTGATAATTTTTATTGACTTATTGATACCTTAATACTTTTCTAGAGAATCCAGAATAACTAACAATTACATTGTGTAAAACATATATAATAGTTTCAAAAAAAATGATGACTATAAAATCTTTTATTTGAAACATTTTTTCACTACATTCTGAAATATTTCTCTATACCAAAGTTAAAATGGCACATGTATTCACATATATTCATATATTCGCCACTATATACATACCTTCTTTATTTGATGTTTTCAGAAATAGAATGTTTTCATTTTCATATTGCGCACACACTATGGGAAAATGTAATTCTTGCCATGGTGTAAACACACCATAATGTTCGTGGGTTTCGTTATGATCATGATTATTTCTGTTTTCATGATATTCATGTTTATGAAAGAAAAGTTCTACGTTCTTTCCTGGCTGTACAATTCGATAACCCCATCCATCACTGATATAAAATATTGTTTTTAGTTGGCCGAAGGGATCAATATAGCCATAACATCCATATGTGATCTGATGTGGGCCACGTACTTCATGATGAAATTGACCACGTGGATTAACATTATAACCATATTTGTATGCATCTTTAATTTATAATAATTAATCGTAAGTATAATTTATTATATTAAAAAAACTTTATCGAGAAAGAGGGGAACGCAAGAATATTAGTATGGATTTCTATATTTAATTCTTCATCATTAAATATTCATTAAATATTTTTTATTATTTTTTAATTTT